CAGTACTTGTAATTGTATCAAACAAGGTATCGATACCTACTCAGTATCGGAAAGGTATCGAGTACTTGTACATAGAACTACCATCTGCAGATTTTTCAAAGTTATTGAATTTTTTTTTCACAAAAATATGAATTTTTACAAGATTTATTATCTTCTAATATTTTTTCTTACAAAAACAATAGAATACATTTTTACAAGATTAATAGATACAGTTTTTTCATATCAAATAAGTTTAAGAAAATAACTGCTTTTTTGTTATATTTCCCAAAAAAAATCAACTTTTCCAAGTGTTTTCCTGAAAGGTGGTTTCGAGATTTTGATATACGAGCATGTTCTGAAATTCGAAACTTTGAACTGGACTCGATTTGCCAAATATTTTTTAATTATATCTGATGAAAAGAGTGAATATTCTAATTGAAAACCGTAAAAGAAGCAGCAGCGATATGAAAAAAATCATTTTAATGTGAGTTTTGTAAGTTTTTGGGTTAAAAACCATCGAGAAAATTATCGAAATTGAGTCGATTTCAAATTTTCGAATTTTAGAATATGTCTGATAGTTGTACCTGTTTTTTAGAAAAGCCTCTAGCAAGGGACATATGACCCAACAACCGTTATGAATAGACAGGTTTGCTTACATAATGCGGAAATGTAGTGTGCAAATCTTCCCATTCCTCTAATGGGTTGCTTTTCAAAGATTATGCTGAAGCATAATAAGTTTTGTGCTTCCGATACAAGTACTTTTTTCCGATACCTACTTGGATCGCAGTAAAAGTATCGAGTAAAAAGTACTTGGTATATTGAGAAAATTATCGAGTATGTACTTGGATTTACTGTATCGATTTATCCCTAGTAGTAAATGTTCAAAAAAGTGGCAAGTGGAAGTCCAATCACTGGTGTACGCTACGTGTGTGACTTGTCAAAATATTTGAATATAGGGATGCGCGATACCGATACGATATTCAATATATCAATATCGTTGGTCATGTATCGGTTAATTTATATCGATATCACGCGTTGCAATACGATATCGATACAAAACTTTGTTTCGATAATTACTAGTTGGAAAAACTTTTCGTTCTCTATGAAATCAAAAAATCATAAAAATGTCTAAATTTCTTAAATCAGGTTTGCATGAAAAGGTGTTTCTCTTTGTTTGAAGTTTGTGCCTATTGTGGGCAACAGACCAGTAAATAAAAGTCAGGATCTTCTTTCTTATACGAGATTTTATTTTCCGTAACAATTAGTGTGTCTTTAGGATATTAAATCGCGTACCGGAGGGCATGGGTGGCGATTACCGAACATACAGCATTAATCGATACATATCAATTAACCCTAGAGGTCCCATTCACATAGGCACATCATTTTATATCAGTTTACGCTAGAGGCCCTATTCACATATATTATACTTTGAGAGTACAGACTTGCTTGTAAGAAGAGGTAAATCAAAGTTGTTGAACTTGTTGCTATTTTTTCAAAATCATTAAAGTGCATCTTATCTAAAGTAACTTCGTTAAGTGAATTTATGCTTATTTGCATTTCAGTTCCAATATATCTTTATTGACCGTTTCGTTTTCGATATTTCCGATATTAAATTCATCGATATTATATTAGTAGATATACCGAATACCGATGCCCATAACTAGTGGAATATGAAAACTGAAACACATTTCATCCGTCACTGATTTTAGGCAAATCAAAAAGCGAGAGAGCGGCCTGTATAGACGCTTTTATAGTAACACAACAAAGGGAGAATTTGGTAGTCCAACTGCGTCTAGTGAGCTTTTCCTGCGAGGTTGCTTGTTTGAAGGAAGCTTTAAATTATCGATTAGCAAGATGGCAGACGAAGATTTATCGTTGAACGAAGATCAACTGCTGGACAATCTTGACGAGGCAAATGGCGAGCACGAAGCGGAACTAATGAACGAAAACGAGGTGAGTACCTTTAAAATAAAATGCAAACCTTTATAGAAGTACTTTTATTTGGATTTGATATCCAGAATTTGTGAGAAACCTACGGACGTTCTAGACAAAGATATAAAAACCGTCCAAAAGCTCATAAAGACGCCACTTTTCAGCGTTGTATTTCTGTACATTGTTATGTATGTATGTATGTATGTACATTTTTGGTGGCATTTTAAGTTGTATGCAGTTTTAAGGCAATTGCATCTAAAATTGAAAAAATACGATTTCTAAGTGAGTCTTTTTATTTTGTGTTTTTCGGTTCTACGTTCTACCTTCGCGGTGATTTTCCCAAAAGGAGGAAGCCAATATGCAAATCGATCCTGAGCTAGAGGCAATTAAGGCGCGTGTTAAGGAAATGGAGGAGGAGGCGGAAAAAATTAAGCAAATGCAATCTGAGGTTGATAAGCAAATGGCGGGCTCGACGACGGGTTTGGCCACTGTGCCATTATCTTTGGAAGAAAAACAAGAAATTGATACGCGTTCTGTATACGTGGGCAATGTAGATTATGGCGCTTCGGCTGAGGAGTTAGAATCACATTTTCATGGCTGCGGTACCATTAACCGAGTGACAATTCTGTGCAACAAAGCCGACGGTCATCCCAAAGGCTTCGCTTATATTGAATTTGGTTCAAAGGAATTTGTTGAGACTGCTTTAGCCATGAATGAGACACTTTTCAGAGGCCGGCAGATTAAGGTGTGTATACATACATATGTATGTATGTATATACATACATATGTACTTACATATCGCACGTTTAATATACAGAATTATTTAAAAATTTCAATTTTGTGGGAAAACGCAATCAAAATTGGATCTATTCATACCGTTGATATATGTACGAAAAGGAAGATGGATATATACATATATTCACCATTTTCGGGAAGTTTAGTCAATTAAGTTTAATTGTATGATCAAATCTTCAAAAACGCAAATTTTGAATTACATCCCTATAAACGTGCGATATGTATTATACGTGTTTCGTGTAATTTTGATGCTACTCTGGCATCTGCTGAAACCACCCAAATGCTTGTTTGCATTCTTGCAGGTTATGTCTAAGCGCACCAATCGCCCTGGACTTTCAACGACTAATCGTTTCGCTCGCGGCAGTTTCCGTGGCCGGGGCGCACGTATATCTCGCGCTTGTTGCCACACTTCCTTCCGAGGTGCACGTCGCCCAATGTAAGTGTTTTGCCGAAAATATACGCAGAGCTCTTCAGAATTTAACACAAATTCTGCTTTTGTTTCAGAAGGGGTTATCGTGGACGTGCAAATTACTACGCACCCTATTGATTAATGTTTTATTCTTATTTCTAAGGTAAGTCCTTGCATTTATTTTTCCACATTTATATAGTTTTTGGCATTAAGCTTCATTACCCTCATCGTTTGCTTTT